TTAGCAGAATAACCCTTTAAAAAAATAATGGGTGATAATTGTTTTTTCGTCATTAACGATTGTCAAACTGGATGCGACAATTGGTCAATGTATTGCTTATTGTGGAAAAACAATAATTAACCAAAAAATAGAATCACACCGCTAACTGGGAGAAACTTATAATGTTTATTTCCTAATGTCGATTTTTTCAATGGAGATACACTCGAAAAATCTATTCTGACCCATCGACAATTGATTAATACCTTTTTTCTTCACGACCTTCCGAAAAACTTGAAAAACGAATAAAATATTCACATTGCGGCGTTGCAAACTAGTAGCCATGACGAAACACAAAGCATTACACGAAAAATGCTATAAATTCGAGAAAAATACGTTTCGTCCAGTTTTTGGTAGAGAGTGAGTGGTGACATTTACTCAGATGCTGATAACAAAAGTTTCCACTTTTGAGGATTATCAAGGCTTCTACTTACTGCTGAATTTATATCAAGTTAGCAATATCATCTACTGAAAAAACGGTTCTCCAGGTGTTCAATGTTTGTTTGGCAAAGCCTAAAGCAATGCCAATGACAGGTTCTGGTCCAATGAAGCTGCTTGCAACACCCTCCTTTGCATGGGAGTTAGCAGCCCCATTGCCTTCCAGGCCAGTATGGCAAGGAATTCAGACCAGAAACAATTTGTTACTTGCTACCAACTTAGACGTTACTTGGTAGGAGTCAAGAGGTTCCAACGCCGCTTGACTGTCCGAAAAACTTTTTAATATAGGTTCCTAGGCAGGTTGATATATCTGTCCTGGATCTGAAAACACCTGCACCAGAACCGGAAGGTGTTTTTGATCCATCTGTGAACCAACAACAACAATCTGCTCTTAATATTTCCTTCTCCCGGAGGATGCAGTCCTCTCTACTGGGGAACAGTACTTTATAAGGCGGGTCGTAGTTGATAGTTGGAGGCATAATGTCAGAGGTCATTCCCTGAAAAACCGCGAGTACTAAATGACGAAGCTCATATTATTAGTGTTTTTGAATATTTGTTAAATCTGAAAAGTAGCTGCTCGCAAACACGAGAACTGCATTCTTCTCGACGCGCGTCTCACCAACCAAGTTATCGGGAGATGAACTAGACTGTCTAGTCTGTCACCTGATGTTCTAATTATTTTTTCTAAAAAGAGACTCAATAACAAAAATTTCGATTGAATAATAACCTAAAAAACCATTACTCTTAGCCAGGCAACTTATAATTGCTTCATTAATTTTGGAATATTTCTGCTGGCCAAAAAATAATGTCAAAAAATCATCAGAATTTTGAGTCGTGGTTAGTAATTGACGCGAAAGATAACACCCGTCGAACCCTTAAAAAAAAGAAGACGTTAAAATAATCTAGACCGCAGAATTAACCGGAAAATTGCACTTTTCCGAAAAATTCACAAAATGTATTCAATTGACTGAGAATTCTTGACAACGATTTATGAAAAACAAAAATTATATTTCATATCAACAGAAAAAAATTTTAGGAATTAATATTTTATAAATATTCATTGTATGTGAAGGATATCCACGTAGGCTACAGATCCCAACAAATATCCTGCTGATCTGCAGTAGCTATCGTTTGTCATTTCAATGAGCTCAGTGGCCGCTTTTTTGTTATTTACTGAAGGCTCAGACATGATGATATTTCAAATGAAAATAACGGAGGAGATAGACAATTTCCGGGAAAAGGGATATAAATAAGAATTTGTTGTAGATATGTCGACATAACTGATAATAATGAGTGAGTGTCCTGCACGGGATTAAAAACAATCCGAGGACTCATGGGAAAGCAGAAGTGACAAAAATTTTTGATAAAAATATTGACAAATATACAGGGCGAGTCACGAGTGATGAGACGGTCCCTGGAAGCCAGACAAAACATATTTTTAATGATTTTTCACGACACGAATATGCATGTCACTTATGGCTATGTTTCAAAATAATTTTCATATACATAGGGTGTCCCAGAAAAATGTGTATCAAAACTATGTTTTTCAAATGGAAGACCTACATTCTATTATTTATTCTACGACAAATTCTAACATGATTTTCTTAAAGGTCATCCATACCTAAATGCAGTCGAATCCGATATACTGCAATTTTTTGTGAAAACAATGTTTGAAAAATCTTACTTCACACGTAGATACTGAATCAATTCCTAGGTCAAGTTTGATTAGTTTTGAACAACAATATCTCTGTTCTTTTAATGAAAAAACCCCATATATTGTGAATCCATGACTCCTAATTTCCTTTCAATTGTACCCAAGATTGAAATGCTTCCAGAAAATAACTATTTAAGTTCAGTTTGGGATGCTTCAATGAAGTTAAGCTTTTGGTCATTATGTATTTGTTAAGTCCGCGATCGTTTTAATGTGAATAGAGTATAATTTCAATTTATTATAATTTTTTTTTGTTCGTTGCAGTAAGTAATATCCATATTACCTTTATGTTTTATTCACACAATTTTCTACATAAGTGAGAATCGTGGCTGTTTAAAATCAGAAATTCTGATCATATTCAGTTTGAATTCGATACCGTTTCCAAAAAACTACAAAACATACACAAAAACATTTCATACTTTTTGGAACATTAGTTGAATTGAAACAGCCTGTCTTTCATTGATCGGTTTGATTACGAACCATTTCACTTATTGTCTGTCATTTATTGAATGTTGATGATGAAAGTTTATTGTATTCAAGAACTAGCAGTCCGCCCAGGCTCCGCACGGGTGCAATGCTGATACTAAATATACATATAAACGCGTGCGATCGCTGCTAATAGTAAAGTGCTATTTATATGCACGCACCGACAGCCCCCCGGCCGGTACTTAAGCAACCGCTATGTCCCTGCAGTTTAAATCTGTAATATCTTCGAAAATATTCATTTAAATCACATGCTGTGAAGGGCCATATTGATCTATATTGAATGCACAATGTATTTAAGGTACTTAATTGGATAAGAAATAATGCCGTATTGCTTAAAATCGCTTCGTAAAGAAGCCATTATTTCTCGAGAATAAAAAATTGTTATTGTGAGTTATCGCTGATAGACATATACCATCGCGGACTTTTTTGTAGACTTTTTTAAGGTGTAGTGTAGTACATTATTTTGATCAAGCAAGTGAACGAACAGTAGAAGAGGATTTTTTTTCAAAATAGGTACTATTACCAGGCGAATTCACATTTCATAATAATGGCTTCGTGAATAGGCACACCTTATTATTATAACAAAGAAAATAGGTACGTTGATCATACCACTGATCATCAAAATTGATGAAACAATAATGTTTTCAGTAAAATTATTGGAAATCTTTTCCCGAATGAAACATCCGCGGCTTTTGAAACATAACTTTTGAGAAACTTTCGAATACGTTCCTTTCAATATTACACAAGGAAATTGATAGATTTAGACGTTACTACATGGTAGAAGATCATCATGAATAATGAAACTTTTTTTACGACCGACTCAGTTTCCAAAAAAATAACAATACGTTTCATCTAGCTTCCAGGGACCAACTTCTTATTCGTGACTCATCCTGTATATGGTGACTCACCCTGTATACGTGGGAAGTGACAATTCAGGAAGTATTTGAAATGGTAATTTTGTCTACAATTTATTTTCTGTTCATTTCATGATTTGATGAGAAAACATTCTCAAGTGTTATGCTTTCAGATCTAGCAAGTTTATAGCTTTTGTTATTGGTTTCTAGAAAATCCAACTTCTTCCAGGAACTTCAAATGAGCTTTGAATTAGATGTAACAAATTCACTTACAGTTTGAAGTCGATATCAGTTTCATTTTTCTTAAACAAGAACACGTATTTTTTATTACTGAATGACTGACTCCCGAACACCGCGCGGGGCAAAATAGGAGCCGAGCATGAAAGTTCAAGTTTTTCTCAAACTTGAATTTGTACGACATAGAAAAACCTCACTGGAAACATTGAAAGTTTGTGATATCACACATTTCGAATACTTTGTGGAGGTTGTGAGGATAATCTCTGATACATAGAGTGTGAATTGCTTCCACTGGAGTGACAATCAGGGTCGTAATAAAAAATAATAATTATCTATTTGAACGTCAAATTACTACTCTTGGGAGTATCGAATACATTTCAATTTTATTATATTAAATGCATATTTCAGAAATCGTTATAAAAACATGGATCCGTACTTTGTTAAAAATTATACTTTCTGATCCTACAATGGAATGTAGACGGCAAAGTGTAAACATATTTTCAGAATCTCTGCAAATAATGAAATTTTCGGATAATGTTTTTATTCATCTTCATTTCTGTAAGGAGTATTTGATTGACGTAAGCGAGCATTTTTTTTAAATTCGCCCTCAAAAACGCATACAGTTAAAAGGGTATGTTTGTTTGAGAGCCTCTGTATAGAGAAAGAAAAAACTACTTTAACACAAGAAATAATAAATTCTATACTCTCATTCTTTTTTAATGAAAATCACACGCAATTGTTTATCACCACTCAGCATGAAACAAATTTTCCCACAGACTAAAAATGAAACCTTGCATTTTTTATTCTCGGCATAATATATTATTACATGAATAAATAATACAATTGTGATAGAATCAGATCTTATGAGTAAGAATAAGGAAGGTTTCAATGACTCATTCGTGTAAATTCTAAGTATTTATGCCATTCCAATAATCCTGACAGATATGCGCGTAAAACTGCTTCATCTGCTCAGGCTGTGATAAAGAAATTTGACACTCTCTTGAATCATGAACTTAGGTGTTACAGTAAACAATCAATGTTCGCAGTAAACTGGTATCGATAATATTTTAGTAGTAAGTTCAAATGTATGCATATATTACTTTTAAACACGTTTTTGTGGGCGTAGCAACTTGTAAGCCGAAAACACGAATATGAACGCTAGTGAAATTGATCAGCTCCAAAGAGAAACTGAGGTTAGAAAACAAAAAACAAAAACAATCCAAAACTCTTACACTCACCTCATCAAATCTTTCCCTGATTTCCTCTCGTTCTTCTTGAGATATTTTATGGAAATCTGCTATACTGGAAGCCATATTGATAAAATAGTTCCAAAACAATTTGGAAAGGGTCACAAAAACTCAATCTTACGCACTCGGTGCAAAAGGCACCATGTAAACTATAAACTCAATCGTACTTTCGTGGATTATTCAGTGATCGAATATTCCGGCCGAGCACTCCGAGCAGCGTTGCCAACAACTCCCCCACTATGAATTGCACTGCACGTTAAAAAGTCAAATTTCCCCACCACTTCAAATGGTTTATCTTTGATAACACGAAAAAATTAATATCGCTTAGTTACCGGTTGTATTTCATCAAAAAACGTGTATCGTCTAAGGAATGTCGAATGTATGTCATTAAGGGAATAATTCATACATAGACAATGCCAGCGCCGTAATCAAAATATTTGCGCCTTCTAGACGGAATAAAATGGCGCCTTTCACTTAAAAGCAAATTGAACTTATGTTGAACGATAACGTTACATTTTAGGGAACAGGTAACCTAAAATAAGTTCATCCAAATTAAGGGTATTAAATATATAAATGGCACCAACAATTTATGATACCCAATCAACATTTTGAATTTTCTTCTTTGTCAAAATCTAATTCAGTATGCAAAAATAAGAATACGAGACCTTTGTTGTTTTTATTCAAGAGTTTATTCTATGATTTTCACTATAAGGGTTTTACAAAAACCGCGACACGTGTTTCGCTATACAATAGCTTCTTCAAGCATGTCGCGTGTCGCAGTTTTTGTAAAACCCTTATAGTGAAAATCATAGAATAAACTCTATTCATTAGTTTTTTGAATATGGATTTTCATCAAGTATCGGCCAGTTCTATTCAAATATACAACAATATCATCTATATAAATTTTGACGTCCAAAATTCTAGAAGCGCGCTTTGAATATGTATTTACTCTGAGCGAGATCTGTTGTATTTGTTTTGGATCGAGCACGCTCTTTAGGTTGCTTTGTTTGGGATAAGTCTGTTTTTCATAATTCAGTTATATCAGATGGAGAAAAAAAATTATATTTCATACGACTCATTGTTAATTCATGTTTTATAATGTTAAGTGATAAATAACTACATGTCGAAAAATGCTAGAAAAAACATTAATTTGTTAATAAATGGCAAAATAGAAGGTAAACAACTTTTCAGAAATGAAAGTATTTTGACTGATAGACAATGAAATTAACAAAAATAACGATTTTGGACTTAATAGGTAGAATTCGAACCTCTGGCGAAAAATAATTATGAATTGAAAACACTTCTGCAGCACGAAAGTATTGTCTTTCGACACGCGTTTCACTGAGTTTAGCATCATCAGGAATTGACTAAAAGCCTTAGTGAGTTCTAGTTATCTTCTAATGATACTAACTTGGTTAATGAAAAACGGTTACTTTTGTTTACGTGTGGGAAAAATGTTTTCAATATTCTAAATACAAAATTCCAAATGTCTTAAATTTCCCCATATCATTCGTTTTGAAATCACATCAGGAGAACTGGCATTGCATGCTTGAACAGGCGTCAACTCGAATGCAGCTATAATTCCCAACAATAAATTGCATTTTGTATTTAACATTGGTTTTTGGAAAAGTTGAATGTTTTTTTTTTCAAGAAAAAGTTTTGTATGATTTTGACACCTTGAGAGTCCGCCGACCCTGGAAAACTGAATCATCATCACGATTATACCCATGGAACGGATGTCCCAGTTTCATTTTTCAACTTGACAAATGTGACGTCTCCAGCGGTGCTACATCTTCATCACTTTTAACATACAGTACATGTTTCAAATTCACCGATATTTCTTACAACAGTGAACTTAAGATGAATAAGTATGAATTTTTAGAAATATTTACAACAGATCCTATAGTTTTTCTTCAATTTATTATCTGGCACCTTGTTTCAATATTATGTTTAAACAGTTTTAAGATAAAAATGCAATTTTTTTCTGTGTAGAGAAAATGTTTTGACAGATATACAAACCCATCCTTGAAAAATACACTGTTCTGACGAAGGAAAATGAGCACTCATCTTTTCCTTCATATAGCATTGAAAAGCATACTGACAGAAGAGTGACGTGAGCAACAGTTTGATATTTGTGATATGTATTGAGTATTATTTTCATACTATACTAGGTGTAATCCATATTTTACAAATAAACTGCAACTAAAAATGTTTTAAACTCATCAAGTATGGGCCAGTTCTATTCAATTAGAAATTATTACAAGAAACGCCTCCGCCCTCTGCATTCGTACTCAAACAACGTTAGTAGCCTAGGATATTGAAGAGGATCTTGAAGATATGTTCCAAAAATAACCACTTCTCAACCGTCGCCGCCGACAGTGGTTACCTCAGAGTAATAATAAGACATAGAGTTGTCATGCATGTACGGTGCCTATACCAACCAATACAATACATGTGTTTTCAAACGGGTATCGTACTATCCTTTTCTGTACAACTTAAGGGCGAGGGAGTGGCGGGTAATGAGGGGATATGGAGAGTTTGTTTACATTTGAAGGAAGTTGGACCATAAAACAGTGGCGGTTGGTTTAGTTGATAATCGGAGGAATATTATATATTTATAAAATAAATCATTTCAGGTGAAAATGTATTCTGTTCAACTAGTTCCCATAAAACTATTNAATAATAAATCAGATTTCCTGTAGGAATACATTTTCACGTGAAATGATTTATTTTATAAATACATACTATCCCTATCAACCGCCACTGTTTTATGGTCCAACTTACTTTCCGTAAACAAACAAAGTTATGCTGCCTTCAAGGTAAGGATGCAAAAGGCCACTCTATTGTCTTTTATTACTCTGAGGTGGTTACCTAAAAAATATATTATTGTCGGTTACTTTTGAAACGAAACGAATGTGTCAATTGTCAAGTGTGTTGTTAATAAGTCAACAGTTAAATTATTTTTCGAAGTGAAAACTGGAAATCGTACACTGTGACCATACATTTCCCAATTACCTGAAATTATAGTAATTGAAATGAAAATTGACGTTGGCTGCTTTTCTTTACTGTTCCTCACTACAGAGTAATAAAGAACCTGAGTCATTTTTTTGAGTTGGGTAAAGTTTTGTTCTTTGAGGGTATATCCACATTCTGATGTGAAATACGACCCCCGTTACTCTTTATATTAATGTTTCCATCTATATTTTTTGAATAAAGGGAAAAGAGACCTGACCATCTTATCAAATATAAGTAAAGTCGAACCATCTCAAGTGGGGATTTTGCTGAAAAGTGTCCACTATAGTAAAACCAATAATGATTGAGAGTAAAGCGCGTTGTCATATCTAAATTTTACGTTACCAGTTTATAGCAGAATCAAAATATAGTAAGCAGTAGAGTTGTAGGTTGTGGCAAATTATAGATAATACACAATACTAGTACGATTAAAAGGTATTATTTATGACAAAAATCAGTAATGAGCTTGTAATGAGTAATACTTATACATTTCCTGATTACTGATCAGTTAAAATTCATTATTTTCTGTATAGNAATGAAATAAATAAAAAATGTGTATGAATATTTTAACTAATTGTACTAAGAATTTTTCTTTCATTCTTAACCCTCTCAAAAATTAATAAGCACGCCCCCGATTTGCTGTCAACTGGGCTTACTTCTACTCTCAATCATTATTGGTTTTAGTATAGTAAACGATAAATTATAGTTCAAAATTCGACCAAAATGGCGCGAATATCGAAAGTGGTATAATATAAACTTAGCAATTATAAAGAAGGTAAAGTTCTAATATTTACTATTTTCAATGGCTCGAGTTGTTGATGAAATAGAGCTTATGGTACTATTCACGTAGCCGAATATTATTTGGTAAATCAACCTAACAAAGTTACTGTGAAATATAATTGAAAGTCAGTGAATTATGGTGAAATCAAAAAAACTTTTGCAAGCGGGGATTTCTACTACCGTTTTATCTACCTCTCCTTATTCTTTAACTTTTATTGCTCCATGTGAAATTTACACTCTTGCTAAAGTGGCGCCTCCCTAATATTGTGACTTTGAACGGACACTTTCTGAAACACAGAGATGATACACTTGTACCTTTACCCTCCAGACAATGTCCATACTTTCGAAGCGTTTAGCGCACTCCAGAGCTGATTGATTCCCGCCATCTAACATGGATTAAACTAACCATTTAGTATAATGATGAGTACTGTTGTTTGAAGAGAGTGATGCCACAGCATAGGTAACAACTGTTACCTATGCTGTGGTGACGCCCTATTATTCAAGTGTTGTTTGAAGAGGAAGTTCTCTTCAAACGATTCAAGTAAGCCCTCAAACAGGTATTATTACTGAAAAGAAATCTCATCAAACAACAGTACTGTCAGTGTCTCAATATTAATAGTCAGTCAGATGCAGTTAAAGTATTTGATGCAGTCCTGAGAGCCATCTATCAGATCTTAGAAGAATATAATGAAAAACTTAACCTTCAAGCATAAGGTAAGTTTAATAAAAGATGTTGACAGTTAACACATCATTTGTCATGTAAGCCATGTTAACGCAATGTTGCCAACCGTACCATTTTTATGATTTGGTGTAAGGACTATGTAGCATCATTAAGTGCAATGTTCACTGATTATACCATAAATTTGGTCCATTTTTAATTTAACTCCAACGAAATATTTGGCATAAATTACAGAATCAATAGGTCTTACGTGTACAATGGTGACACCGTCCAGGACGAACGCTGCAGTAAAAAACGATTTTCACATTGCTTCAATTCTATCCAGCAGCTGGACTCAACAATCACCATATACATTCAGCGTTCAGCGGCAAAAGAGTTTCAGCTGCTGTTTGCACACAATGGGTGATAATTTAACGAATTTTGACGAAATCAATGTGGTAATTGTCACTCGTTAAAGAATCAAGTGTATTCCCAGATCTTTCATTTATCAATTTCAATAATCGTTCTGTTATCAAGAGTGTACTGAATAATTATCAGAATGTTATTTCTGTAAAATGAAATATCAGCACATTTACCTATGTATATTTCACTATGGCTTTTCAATGCATTTGGTGAATCAAAATATGAAACTGCTCTGAAAGCCATCAATAAATAATCCATAACATCATAATCTTTACAAATTCAATCATTGCTAGAAAATCAGTTGCAATGATGGAAACTGTCCTGGAAGCCATATATAATCAACATAATTTTTACATTTGGTACAGCACATTCATAATATTTTTCCAGTGTTTCCTTCAGGATACACAAAAAATGTACTTCTAGTTTGCTTGGATTTGGAGAGTGCTTATTCTTGGTAACATCTAATCTAGCATAATCATTTTCTACATCTCCATCAACCAACTGCAGTTACATTACAAGCATCGATCACTTGATAACACATAAACAACAATTTTAACTCGAATATACTGAAAACTAAATCTATCTTCATAGTAATAACCTCACATCACAGTTAATACATAGACATGAAGTCACTTTCATATTTCACCAGCTGATCACACAACGTCTTGGGCATTGCATCACAGCACCGCGTGAGAAATCAAAATGCCAAAATTTTCAAAATGGAAAAATGCAACACATCTTGTTCTACGTCATGACGTTATATCTGAAGTTAAGTGTATATGTGATGTAAATGCCAGAACGTGAATTTCTTCATTTTTTGTTAGTTACTGGGGTCAATGTTTTCTCTTCAATGACCAGTCCATATTATGACGTCACAGAGTAAATACTTGATCCAGCAGAATAGAAAATAAAAACTAAAATTCAATAAAAATAGAATGAGATGAATATATATTTCCATCTTTCTCTGGTAAGAGTGTCGTCCTCAGAGTAATAATATATTTTTTATTACTCTGAGGTGCCGTCGCCGTCACTTTAAAGTTAGGTCGTTCATTATGTTCCACGAAGATCTGATAGATGGCCCTCAGCATTGCATCAAATGCATTTCACAGCGCTGTTTGGTGTATTATCAAAAATGCATTTTGTTTGGGCTCCGTGTTTCAACCATTTGCCTTGCAGTGAAAGCTATAGTAAAATCATAGTCACTAAATACAAAGGTAAAATACAGAGGACGAATTTCGTCGGCGATAGATGTCGAAGCTTGGCTTTGCAATTGACCGCCTTAGGGAGCATCAGTTATCTTTAATATTCCAGGATTGAGTTCTCTTTTAGTCCCATAGATGGCGATCTCGTAAGAGGAAGTTGTCGCCTTTGTTTTTCAGGCTTGTTCGTTACGGGCAGTGAGTCCAGCAATGCATTTTTTGTTTAGCTCACCTGCCTACCACCACTGATAAGACAAATCACGGATCAAAACAGCGCTGTCTGGTATATGATCAAAGATGCATTGTGACTGGGCTCCGGTTTTCAACTAGATGTCTTGCAGTGAAAACTCTAGTGAAAGACAGGACGAATCTCGTCGGCGATCGATGTCGAAGCTTGGCTTTGCAACTGACCGCCTTGGGGAGCCTCGGTTATCTTTGACATTCGAGAATTGAGTTCCCTGTGTCAATCCCATAGATGACGTTTTCGTAAGGGGAGGTTTCGTCGCCTTTGTTTTCTCAGGCTTTAAGGACAATCAAGTACAGTAATGCATTTGTGATTTAGCCTAGCACCACTAATAAGACCTATGGCGGGCCGGAACAGCGCTGACTGGTGTAGGATCAAAAGTGCATTGTGTTTGAGCTCGTATTTCAACAAGAATAATCCACTCCAAAATTGAGATATTTTCCTCAATCTAGCGGGAAACTAATCAGCGGACAGTCTTCATCAGGTATATAAGCAACACATATTTGTGGCTTGATGAAACAATAACCTCATATGAGGGCATTTGTAGGTCAGCTATACATAAAGATAAATTAAATTCAGCCGTGTAGGGCTTTCAAGCCTCTGGTTAAGGTCAATCATTGTTTAAGATTTGCTAACCTGCTCAACTTTATCTCCTGATGTAAATTCCACTGCTCAAGAATTTAGTGCAAGGAAGTTACATAAGACGACCTACTCTTGAGGAGGCAATAAGTTATTTCCTGGCTGTATCTCTTAGCCTCCTGGGTCTGTTGCAAGGAACAGAAGTGGAAACTGAGGATCTCTTGCTCCGATATTAGAGGAAGGACAGTTGGGGACGTTTAGTCGACATCAAACCCTTTATAGAGAGAAAGAGTCAGCATCAGACCCTTTGATCACTTCATGATCCATTGTGAGTATCTTGGGAAAGGAGGTCTACGCAGAGCCCTGCATAACCATGACAAGGCTTCCTACCATGAGAAGACACCCGGTATTTCGAAGGCTGTGTTAGTGGCACTGATTGGGCCATACATCCTTCCAGCACGGATACACATACTTCAAGATGAGGCCATCATTCACGATGACTCTTACATCCACAGGTGACACCTGACCCAGCAGTGGTATAACAGTACTACAAATCCAGATTTTCTGTAAAACTGAAAAAAATTCCAATGAAAACATTTTTCCATAGCCTATTATTACTACAAGCTACAGAGCCGACTCTTCATATTTTCTTTAACATGGGTATATTATTCACTTACGTTTCCTGCATGTATATAAATCCAGTATATTTTATTAATGCAAAAGTACCTCTTGATTGCCATTTGGTAACATTCATCTCTACCAGCTTCTGGAAAACAACTACTTTTTTTGATAATACCCCATCAGAAACTGTATTACACCAAAAGTATTTCAGTAGATTCTCGTCAAGTAGTAGAACAGGCTGGAATTACTTGAGTGATCAACGAATGTTGTGTTAATCCTCACCAGTGCATGTCAGATCAAACAAAAATAGCAGTTCAACTGAATGATGTGAAGTTCTATTTCGTGGAACTGGTGCTCAAGAAAATCATTATTTTGAAATAAACCTGAAACATTTATGTCTCCTAGCTTTACTGAAATGTAAAACTTGACACGTGTTTCACCAACCAGTATACTTCATTCAGGAGATAAAATAGACTAGTCTACTTGGTTGGTGAGACGTGCGTCAAGACGAGCATTGCAGTTCTGGTGTTTGAGAGCACTGCTTGGTTTGGATTTCTCATATTTCTTACTTGGTATAATTCAACAGATTCCTGCTGCAGAACTATTAATTCCCTGGCCAATACCAAGACAGGTACTGGATTACATCCAACAAACGTGTTACTAGGCAGGAAAGTGGTTTTCCACCAGGTAATTATAAAATTACATAACAAAAAGTAACTTTAATCATTATTCAGTTTCGGAAGAACAAAATTCAGTTTGAAGATATTGTTCACAGTTCAATTCAGCTGATTTGTTTTTCACTCAGTTTCTTCATCATATATTCAGTGGTTACTTTTCGTTGAGCTTTTAACATTTACCAACAAATTCAAGGTGAAAGTCAAAGTTACAAAATACTCATTAATTTCATTGAAATTTGAATAAATTTATTAATATATCGCACAGTGAATCAATGAATGTAATTCTACTATTCATAAGTATGTTGAATAAAACAAAAAAAATAACTGTTACCAAGTACACTATTTGTTAATCTGGTTGTCCGTTAACCAGCTGTTGCTTCCCTACAAACGACGACTTTCAAAAGTCAAAACTTTTGCGAGCTAAGGACTAACAAGGTCTTACCTTTTAACATGTGATTCCTAACACGGGTTGGATGGTAGGAATAGAAAAACGATCGTCCGGCCTTGCGGTTCGAACCACCCGTTCACACAGCAGTCGATTGAGTGATTGTAGCAAACCACCCACATCAACCCACCAGGCTATCGTCCTACCATGAATCTCATAAAAGTTATTCGACTATCTACTTCATCATAATTTTCTTTTATTTAGAACTTTACTGTGTAAAGAGAGGAAACTTTTCAAACCCCTCATTTTATTGTTATGATTCTAAAACATATTAATATGATAAATACAATATTTTGGTGAAAAACGTGTATTGAATTAATATGTTACTTGAATGCGATGTTCGCTGTGTAATTTATTCCACTGTTTCTACAATATCAACACAAGGTAAATTCCACTTGTACTTGTCCATCAACAACTGATAGACTTCTGGCGATGTCTTGTGGATGGTAGCAAAAAAATCAACATCTTCCTCAGATAGATCGCATTTACTATTCAAATTCAATGTCAGAATAGTGAAAAAAGATGGAGGCAACTGATCCTTAAGACTATTCAGAATTGTGCTATTATCCACCTTGGACTCTGACAGCGTTTTCTGTCTCAACATCTTTTTTATTGTAGCGATGTCTCTGCTATGTTGTTTGATTTTACGAAGATAATTTCGCCCAAGGGTGGGCTTCTCCACAACATTTTTCATCACTAGGTTTCTCATACTTGGACGGTGTCCCGTTTTTTTCTGTAGTTCGCTCATTCCTGTTAGTTGCTCCTGATTCTGAGTGTCATACTCTTCCTCTACTTGGATCCTTTGAATACCGTTCCTATGAACTCTGTTTGAAGATTCATTAAAATCAGGAAGTTCTTTCTTTATTGGAAGTGAGCATCTTGGACTTCCTTCCATTGGGATATCACCTCTCAATTTCATGTTATAATTTTCTCGAAGAGAACTGGAGGCTCTACTTGTGGACGGCTTTGCCACTAGCTGCTCTTGTTTGATTTCAGGTTTGGGAACAGAGCTTGAAGGAACAATCATTCCATTTTTATAAATATAAGATTCCACTTTCTGAGATCGACTGAACATGTTATCTGTATCCAATACAAACAAAGTTCCATCTGAACTTGCCGGTAACACTTGAATATCTTGCAAATGGGAAGATATGAACATTGGTGCCTCTTCAGGTTCATCGTCACATCCTAAAGTGGGAATAGCACTTTGCAGTAAACGCTTTTTTTGGCTATTTGGAAACCATTTATCTTCAAAATGGATTTCACATATAACTTTATTTCGAAGTTGATCTTCTTCTAAATCACAGAATTGTGGCTTTTGAGCATTTTCAATCCAAATTTTACATCTCTCTTTATGTTTGACAGGATAGTGAAAAAAATGAATATTATCTGTTGTCTTGGTAGTGTTTTGGCAATTTCTATATGAACATCGACAGCCTCCCATAGCTAAAATATAAATAACCTTACTCTCTTCTAGATAGGTCAAAAACATGCATTTGATGGAATTACTCAATCATTGGAAGCCCTAGAAAGACCATACCCACTCTTCTTAATTTTGCTTCGACATTTTTCTCGGGAGCTCGACTTTATTTTCGAGATTTCCGAATTATTCTCGAGATTTTGGACGAGGTTTCGAGAATGAACTCCAAATCTCAACAATAAAGTCGAAATTTCAAGGAAAAAATGTCAAAATATCGAGAAAAAAGTCAAGGAAAAAATTAAGTATGGCTCTTCTACGGATTCTTAAAATTACCTTTTTGATATACAAACACAAAAATATTTATTTTCAATTTTCCACTATAAACAATTTAATTTAGAGGCAAAACACAACGGATAAACAGAAAAAATGTCAGAAATCAACACAATGACAAATCAGTGTAGCCAATTATATTTATATACAACAATATAATACTCTGGTCACGATATTCTGTGCTCTGGTTGGATGGTAGCCGGTTCATAGTACTAATGAAACCATCGCTATTGTTCAACTCTGTGATATTCGGTGTTCACTACATATAGTCTGTTATGTGTTAGGAATCATAGAGGAAAGGTAACACATCCTTAATCATCAGCTCCTACAAGTTTCGATTTCAGAGGGTTGTTGTTCTTGGGAGGACAGCCGCTGCTTGACGGAACACACTAATTTAACCCATTTTCATCCTAGTATGTAAAATTGAGTGTATTGGGTGGTAATCTTTAAGTGTAAATATTCTGTCGGATAAGGATTTTGTTTGGAGCACATATATTTTCTCTGTTGGCTAATCTGTTTATTTGTTGTCAGTTGCCACTGTCATAGGTAGATTTATATTGTCCATATTTGAGTTGTATGCTATTTTCATTGTATTTATTTTTCATGTATTTTTTAGACCACCGACTCTAATTACAAATATACAGAGTAGCTAACTCGTAAAAAATACAAGTGCTCCTAATGAGTTTCTTATTTGATACGTTCTATAGGATATATCAGATAATTGAGCGTGTATACCACTGTTCTGTAATTGAACATACAGAAAATGTATACTTGTATGGCATATTTCCATGTGAATATTATCTACTGTTATTTTTTTCAATAATAAAAAATCTCAACTTGACAGTTGATTTGTTTACCGTAAAGAACACAACATCTTGTATGGATAGAGCAAGCATGCGAGTAAACAAATAATAGTTGAAAGGAATTAGCATGTCTACGTTGAAGTTACAGGCAGCTTTTTAGCAGTCGTTTTAGCAATTAATCAAATTGAAAGCAATTTTCATGAAAATAGTTGAAATACATGTAGGTATTATATTTCATTATACTATTTTCTAATCATAATCAAACATTTTGACAGCAGTCACCTTGAGAAATATTGTTGTTTATTTTTGGAACGACGGTTCTATCAATTGCCAAGTGTATCATTGAGGAGAGTCAATTGTTAAGTTATTTTTCAACTGGAAACTAGAAATCATACTTTGTGACCATACATTTTCCTAATAATTATTCTCATAGTGATTAGAATGATTATTGAAGTTGGCCGCTTCTGACGATGAATGTTCAATTTAAGTTCCACTTCGTTGTGAGATTTCCACTAGACAGTTTGCGAAACCACAACACATGTTTCGCTATATAGCTTTATCAAATGTTTTCATACTGTTTCTTCGAATATGTTATCATCCATATTCGAAGAAACAGGAGTGGGTAACGGTTAAAAGAAGCCTGATTTATTTTTGAAACAAGTGGCCTGTTTCATTACCCTAACGACAAATAAAACTCCAGTTGGAGAGGTCAACAAGAACAAGTCGTCTTTTGATATTGCTGGTTTCAAAATTCAACAAATTTTTAATTGGTAATACTGAGTTTTTTACATATTTTTCTTGTTATTTGTCCAAATAAGTCTATTTTAACATATGTAGTTGATTACTTTCATTACCTAAAAGAGACAACTGTTGATGACCGGAACTGTTTAGTGTTTAAAAGTAACCGAGGCAATAAAATTACAATTACAAGAACTATTTGGTATAAAAAACGCATCAAAATAAGTTTAAGCCGTTACCTTCATCAAATATATGTTCCAAAAATAACGACTTCATAACCGCCACTTTCCAAAAGTTTTGACAACGGTTACCTGAGAAATATATTATTGTTGATGACTTTTTAGATGAAATGGTTGTCATGAACAAGTCAGCTGGCTAATTATTTTTGGTGTGGACACTGGAAACCATACATATAATATACAAACTAAATATTGAAGTTGGCCGTTACTTTTCAAGAGATACTTTTGAGTTCTGACGATGAAAATATCTTTACTATTCTTTACTTCAGTATGTTATCATCCGCATTCAACAAAACAAGTAAATGGGTAATTGTAGAAAGGAAGTTGTGTCCAGTTTTGTGATCCCTAAGGACTCGTATAAACTACAATAGCTGTGATTTTGCAAACACCAAATCGTATTTATAATTACTTTTTTTGAACATATCTTGAATATTAGGAATACTAATTGGAAAATTAATACAATCAAAACATCAAGTAAAAATCAGTAATGGAAAATATAAACATCAACTATATATGACAATTGACACTAATGACAGATCAGATAGTGACGTTCGCAACACAGAAAAAATACATGGGCTGCAAACAAAATACTTATTTATATAGGCGCTGAAATGAATACAATGGAAATGACATTTAAACAGCAAATAAATCTCAAAAATGGGTACTACAAACATCAACTACAAATGACAATAGGCACTAATAA